AGTATTATGAAGGTATTAAAAGGTAAAAGGTAAAGTTGTTCCTCTGCTCAACGAATTAAGCCCTACGCCATTAAGGCGTGTGGGGGAGTGGATGTATAGATCCAAATTTTCTTGACCTCGGCACTAGTTGGAGGTGAGTGGTCAGCTTCACGCCCCGGCCGCTTTACCCCCGGGGAAAGAGCCCCCGGTACCCATTGGATAGGAGGTTGGATGGACCCCAGAGCCGGTCTGGACGATTTGGAGAAGTTAAAATTCTTGACCCTACCGGGACTCGAACTCCGACCCTTCACAGTCGTCCAGCCCGTATAATAAAATTTGGCTTAACCGGGTTTTCGATTAACCGTGACTTCCATCCCCACCATTAGCCCGGATAATCGAGAGTTGACTGTACTAGTGTTATCAACAAATATTATGGCTATATCTGACGAATACTATGAACACTCCATACAAACAGGGCATCAGTATTCTTTATGACTTTTCTTCTGTCTTTGTGCTGTCCTGTATAGACAGAGGCCTTGTGATAGGCCAATCCCCCATCCAAGGGCCCTACCAAATGTTCATAACAAGATTCTGAATTCAGGAAAATGGGAGGATTTGAATTGAAATGGCCTGTAGCACCACACATGAAAAAGAGGATATCCGAGGAGGGGTATTCTTAGCCAGTGTAACTTGTTTGAAATTTGATGTTCATTTTGAGAATCTTTATATATATATACAATTTACAATGCAGCAATAACTCAACAGAGATGAATTTCAAATGCAATATTGGCGCCAGCTTCAACTCAAGAAATACAATGGAGTTATAACACATCATCTTCTGAATCACTTTCATCCTCTGCACTGCTGCATCTTCTTGACGGGGGTGCAGGAATCCTGAGTTTTATAAATGCTCCACTCATTTTACTGCCATAATGCCCAGCCCAGAATTGGGTATCCATGCCTCCATGATAAAATCTAATAAACCTAACACCTGGTCCATAGCTCTGGAACACGTAGCTTACCTGAAGAGGGAAGAATAACAAATGTCAATAATGAAAAACATTAAAAAATCTGAAACTTTAATATGATAGATTTGAAATTATGTATCAACCGTGGCTATTAGCATAAATGCACACTGACGTCAACAAAACACGCTCCAGAATTCAAATAAGAATAATGATCTATTGCGAGCAGCGAGAGAATGGAAAGGTATTTGAGTCCATGCACATCAGGTTACTAAATCTTCATAGTAAGATCCAAACTTTATTCACTCCATGCAGCACAGACTTTCCTGAGATGATAGTCCAGTAGCTGTTCAATAAATTCCCCAACATCTTTGGAACCATAAGGTTAATCATAATCATGAGAGCCAGATACTGAATTCTATTCAGTCAGCTGAATCCAATCCATATTCCCTGAATACAAATATTAGTACCTTTCTCCCATGTATACCTAGGCTTCCTAAGTGGTTTCTTCCTTTTCTGTTTTCAGACCAAAGCTTTGTACGAATGTCTCGCTTACTTTGTGTTACATGACCTACTCATTGTATATCTTATTTTATGACCCTAATCATACCGTCACGGGGGACACGCTGTAGTGTAGTTGGTTGAGGCACTATGCTACAAGGCTGAAGGTTGCAGGATCGAATCCCAATGAGGTGGATTTTTCAATTGACCAAATCCTTCCAACCGCACTATGGCCCTGGGGCTGACTCAGCTTCTAACAGAAATGAGTACCAGGAATATTCCTGCTGGTAAAGGGTGGCTGGAGCATAAGGCTGACAACCTTACCGCCATCTGTGAGCAGAATGTCTAGAAAATGTGGGAGGCTCAACCTCTCAAAACCCTATGGGCCTCCACGGCCTGTTAAGGGGATACCTTTATCTTTTACTTTTTAATCATACTGTCACGTGTATCAGTGACTAAAGACAGGGTTCAGATCGGTAATTCAATTTGTTGACCACTTACAGGTCGTGACTACAATCAATTATAACACTTCCATGATTACTGTAATTATAACACATACATAAAGTCTACTATATCTGCTTACACTAGTCATTCCTAGGTCACAGATCTAAACAATGGATATTTTCTTTAAATGATAACATAATCAGAACAGATGTGTCAAGGATACACTTACAAAACAAAATATTCATGATGACATATTAACAGCAATATTAAAGCAAGTTATGCATGGTTTACACAGAAATTAGTGGTGATATATATATATATATTAACCTCATAAGAACATTATCTCATTGTACCCATTGTACAGGAGACTGGGTGAGCCCAAGAGCCAGTACGGACATTATGGAGAAGAGAAAAATCTGATCCCTGCCTGGAATCGAACCCTGACTCCTTGGTCATCCAGCACATACCTTAGTTGCTATACCAACTGTTCACTGATGTTAGAAAGATACTTCACCTTATGCCATACTCCTCCTTCCCACTGTTTGAGTGATTCATGGCATTTGATGTCAGTTACTGGTTCTCTCTTCTCATTCAGCAATTCACACTTCATTTCATATACACAACCACAATCAAACCGGCCAGCATACCTACAATAAAATAAGTATATTCAGAACATTTGATGTTTCATATCCTGCAATAAAGACTAGATGGTTATGAACCGTAAGCTGTAATGAAGCAGTACTGAAGTAAGAAACCACATTCAAAGCCACAAAGCCTAAGCAGCACCATAAACAATCTGTTAAAAGGAAATGTAACATTGAAATTATATTTATTTGCTTACGTATGCCAGTAACATGAAGATATATGTAAACGTTACTCTGCATTCTCAGACATTAGCATGCAATTCAGTTATTCTTCACCAGCCTTTACTCAACAGTTGGTCACATTTACTTGGGCCTCTTGGATTTGGAGTATTTATGTAGGCCTTAATATGAGTAATATAAACAGGTTGGAGGTATCTACTAGTTGGTAGCATTTGTTATGGTTATTACTTTCATGTGGTTAATATCTAAAACTGAACGATTATTATTTATGTCAGAGTTTCTCCTTTCTATTCTCCTGAAAGGTGGCACTGTGGCGGCAGTGGTGTTGGTGGGTGCCATCATGGAGGCAGACGTCATGGTGACTTTGGTCGTTGTTATTGTTGTTGTGGTATTATTATTATTATTATTATTATTATTATTATTATTATTAGTAGTAGTAGTAGTAGTAGTAGTAGTACTAGTACTAGTAGTAGTAGTAGTAGTAGTGGAAGCAGCAGTAACAGAATCTACTTTCATTTCATCTGTAAATATGACGAACTCAGGAGTTGTGTGAGATAGATATACCATTGACTAATTGACTACAAGCTGCTTCATATGTTCTCAATTATTAACCATTCTAGTCCTTAGGTTTTGGTGGCTGGAGCTCAACATGTGACTCTGGACTTCAGGTTTAGGCCATGTCAAATGCTGTAGGTTCTGGCAAACTTCAGGGTTAACGACTTGGAAAGGGATTTTAGCTGCTCTTATAGCCTATATCTCTCACATTAGGCAACATCCTGGAGATGAGCTCTAATTAGATAAACAGAGGAATGAGATGCTAACCAATATGGAGGAACCACATGGATGGTGAAAGAAGCTCATGTTTAGCGGTAAGAGGCGACAAAATATGTTCAGGTAATGGGGTGGCCCTGAGAAGAGGTGGGGAAATCCCTCAACATCTGACATGGTCTAGTGCCAGAAGTTGAAACCACACATTATATTTAATCACATGGAAACTGCAAGACTAAATTCATAACCATTTTACTTGCATTTGGGGAGTTACTGAGAAAAGTCATAATCAGAGACAGAGTAACATCAAAACAAGAGGACATAACTATAACAATTATTATGAAAACCATAAGGCATCTTTCAGTTATGTTCCTATGTTTGTCATGTGATACAGAGATGTTCTTTAAGAAATAGATATACAAATGAAGCAGACCAAAGTACAGTGCAGATACAATGGAATAACTGTTTCATTGGTGTAAACTGATAATTTTATCATCAAAGCAAACAATAAAACTGAAGCAATTTTATTAACCTCGGCACATATTATTCATAAATAATCATAATATATTATATCACGAGGTTTCAAACCAGCTTTTTAATGTTCATGAATGTTTACATTACTTACTACGAGACCTGCATTCCTTACATGAATAATTCTTCTCAGGAGCATTCAATTTTACAATCTTATTTTTGCATACTTCATTCCTTGTAAGTAATGGCAGTACTTACCATTCACTGACTTCAATAATGGGTTGAAACTCATCCATCACTTTGCTATTCATACCCTCTGAGAGCAGATCAACTACTTGTTCTTTAGAGCAAGAGTGAAAAGATGTGGCAAAGCAACTAGTGAAGTTACCAAATTCTTCACTTTGTGGCACTGTATCTGTCCCCTGAGGAGGATCTTCTATAGCCCACTTATCACCTCCATTGCTCAAAATGTTCCAATATTTGAGATTATCTTAAAAAAAAATTAAAGTTTACACATTACTTTAAAATGAGTTTTACATATGAAAGAACTGCTTGAAAAAATAGAGAACTCTAATTTTAACATTTCCATTTTTATGAACATTTCAAAACAGCTTTTAAAAATTATGATTCTAATGTTCACTGTATACATCTCAGGCTTCTAAATACCATGTATTACAGATAACAAGAATTTGCAGGAAGAATCTAAGGCACAAACTTCTTTTACAGCTTTTATGTGTAAAGGAAAACTAATTATTCAACTCGGTGGCATTCTGTGCCCAATTTCCACTGCCTGGAAGTTTTAAAAACATAACTTCAACATTCTGCATCATTATCATGTTCATGTTTTTGGAGCATGAGAACTATTCAATAAAAAATATGTAAGGTCATTAATGTTGTATCCTCACACAAAATTTCAATTGCCCAGATAACATGGCTCATTAATTACTGCTATTAAATGGAACAGAACTATAAACTCTGTAACCTGTGATGTTATTTGACATCCTACAACAATGGACTGGAAGGGCATGCAAATAACATAAATTGCATCATGTTGTACCAATGTGGTGTAGACCTGACTAAGAGAAAAGGGACCTATCTTACAAAAGAGTTACACAGAAGGTTGCTAGTGTACTATACATTCAATGTAAGAATTCAAAACCTGTATATCAATGAGCACATAAACAGCTGGACACTTTCATCATTCTGAATTTCATGGTAACAGGCCGTGAAGACCCATAAGGTTGAGAGACTTTCAGACTCCCACATTTTCTATATACAATCAGCTAACAGATGGCGGCGAGGTTGTCAGCCTTACGCGCCCACAGAATTTCATGGTCCTAAATTAAAAGCTACTGGTGTTAATCTCATCTCCAGTTCCTTCCTGTCATGTTGGTATTACTGTGGTTAAGGAACTGTGAAGTGTGATTGCAGGTTCTGTTCAATGCCCAGTGTTCATACTAAATTTTGTAAAAAATCAGTTGGAAGTTTATACTAAATTTCATGGAAACTGGTTGATTACTTAGCATACAACTATATGCGATAGTACTATAAACCTGTCATAAAATAAAGCAAAATGAGTATGAAAACTGTTTCTCAGTAAAGTTGTCACTTACAGGCAATAAAAAGGAACCAGATTCTGCTGGATTCACTCAATGAGCGGGATCAATCTTAACTGGCTGAAGTAAAAGCAACATTATTTTCTTTGTTACAAGAATTATAGAGAAATAAATGAAATGAATAAAAGAAAGCTGCAAGTATCTTCTTTCACTGAAAAATCTGGAAGGTTCTAACAATTTAAAATTATATTGTGATATGAAACTATTCCTTGCAGAACTCTACTAAGCAAAATGTTTCTTTCCTTGCAATAAGTAAGTTATGCTCATACTGAGTATATACTTTAACATGTCTCCAGCTGTATGAAGAGAAGTTATCATGTCTCATATGTTTCATCTTTTGGCTTTACATTGGTTCTACTTCCATCCACAGGAGACTGTCATTATGCTGAGAGTTTACCACTAAGACACCTGGTCGACTTACGACCACAAAAAAATGAAAAATAAAAGATTATTAAATTGTAAAAGTTTTTAAAAATAAACTATAAAGATGATAAAATGATTAGAAAGGTTAAAAAAATATTGTTAATAAATATATGGCCAACATATGACCAGACTGACTTACAACCTGTCAGTCAGAACGGAAGTCGGTCGTAAGTCGACAACCAAGTGTATTTCTTTTCACTGTATTGATTGGATGAATGTATGAGGGGTGGGCCATAATAACCTGGCCCTTGCACTGGGACCTCCAATTATCTATTGTGCTTCCCCTTTTTGATTAACCCTTTATCAATCCTACACTTCAAATGAAATGCAGGACTTTATTTCTGAATGTACCACTGCTCGCAGCTCTTAAGAGAAATGAATATATATTTGTGCCCCACTCAAAAATTTCTCCTGCCATTCCCACTGCAAAAAGGAATTGAGAAGCTTAAGATCTGGGTAAAATTATAGAAGTAAAGTATGTTTTAAAGAACATTTTGGTATTACCTTGATAAGTCTAAGGGAAACATGAAAGTTTCTAGAAAGAAAAGCCATCTTCTAAATAATTAAAAGGTGAAAAAAGAAACACACATGAAATGTACCACAAAATTAGTAATATAATGAATGGAATTCGTGGTGAAGATAAGAATCACAAAAAGGATGAAAAAAAAAAATAAGTAAATGACTGCATAGCATTTACTAGTCTGAAGAATTTGATAAAAAACATGAGCAACTTAAGAACAGAAAATTGGTATAAGATCACAGAGGCTATTCTTTATTAATACCAACCTTGTGCGCAATGGTTCTTCAATACATTCTTCTCAAAAGGATCTTTATCACATATCCTATAATAAACATACCAAGGCAGTTTCCATTTAGGATCCACTGCCTTTAAACTCCTGTATTTCTCTCTGGATACTTTCAATCTCCACACCTCATTATCAATCAAATGCTTCCACCAATGACAGACAAGCCTGAAATTTACTAATGTCTTAATATCCACATAACTCAAGATATGAACAAGGATTTCTTCTGGCACACTGTGTTCCACTGGTTGCAGTTTCTTATTACTGTCATTGGTTTTGCTATCTGAAGTATTCTGTGATATTCTCTGCCCCATTACGAAATCTGAAATGGAATAAAATCATTCAGTAACTACACAGTCATCATCATTTAAGTGTTAATGAAGACAGTCTTTAATACGTATTTTTTAAATCCTACTGGAAGATCTGAAACAGGGTCATGAAAACAAACGTCTTAATTTTTTATTTGTATTGTATTGTATTGTATTTATTACATGTTCCAGCACATCCATACAAGGCCGAAGCCATTGGATACAGAACCCATTACACCACAAGCTTGCTAAATCAGCAAGTAGTCAACAGAACAATGCATATAAAGCCACAACAATAAATCGAGCATATGAAACCCTACACATCACTGCAACTACATAACCTACCATGTGTATATAAAATATAATACAAAATTGGAACACATACATGACAATAGATCAAATAATGGGTCACAGCTAAACAAGAAACTATCCCCAATTAAAATATTCATCTAAGTGTCATAGGTTTTAGTATATAAAAAGCATTTAAAACTGCTCTAAATTGCTTAATATTATGGATCAACTCTTTTATATTTAAAGGAAGATGATTAAATAGTTTAATTCCAAAATAATAAGGTCCTCTCTGGTAAGTTGTCAAATTTGTCTGAGGGTGATACAGATCAAAATTACGTTTAGTATTAAAGCCATGAATTTGTGACGTCGTGCAATATAAACCCATATTATTTTCAACAAACATCAATAAAGAAATTATATGGGACTGCAATTTGGGAAGTGTTATCACCATAGAGCTTTCTGCTGTCTAAAGTGAACATATTGTCACACAACAATATCGTGGGACGTCAGATCTGGTAGCATGGACAGACACAACCACATAAAACTTCTACAACAAATATTTATTGCTGTTGGAATATACAGATGAGCAGTGAAGCAGAGCATGTAATAATTGGTCAGGTCGTGGCCCTGAAAAGGGCCGTATGTCTGAGGCTGGGCACACCTGATGGATGCTGGGCAAAGCTCGTGCTACAGAGGGCTAGCCTGAGCTTGTGTCGGTGGTCTTCCTTGAGCGGCAGCTTGGTGATTGCAGGCTGGCTGTTGAACTTGCCGGTGGATTTAGGTGACTGCTAGTGGAGTCAAGTGTCAGTGTTGCTGGCGGGACACACGCTGTTACTGTGTGGAGTTGGCCTGATAGTGCTGATCCTCAGAGACTTGCTCTTGTTCTCTGTCTTGATGTAGGCATAGGTGCAACTGCTGCTAGCGTATTGGAAGTCAGCATCTTTATTCTTTGTCACTAGGTGCTGCACAAAACAATGAGCACTGCAGATGGTGTGGTCTATCTGATTGGCTAGCACTTAATTCCATGTGGATGGCTCCCACAACATGAACTTCTGTTTAACACCCCTGGTTTTACGAGGGGTCTTATAACATAAACAGAACGAAGGGTAGACTTCACTGATCCTGTGCTCCACATCCTTACGCCAAGTCAGCTTAGCATTCAGAGCTCTAGTTCTTACTTCAGGGTTCAATATGTAATACAATTTGATATTTTCATACAACCTAAATCCTAAAAGTAAATGTGACGGAACATATAGTTTGCTCACTTTTAAGTGCTGTTTCAGAAGCATTTAATTTTGTGTGGCATGTAATGAAAAACTGTTATTATATTCAAGTAAAGTTTATTCAAACATAACCAATTTTCATACTTTTACTGAGCTTCTCATTTATTTTCTATTGTACAATTTTCATAGTAGAATCATAAAAATCACAAACAACAAAAACAAAAGAAGACCAAGGACAGTACCTTGTGGTACATCTTTTGTAGTTAATTTAAATATGTAGTATAAGTATATAATGTTTCCTCTTTTACCTTCAAAAATCATCTCAAAATTTTGAGCCCTGCAGGTATTTCTCTAAATATACAGTGTTCTCATTTACTAAACAGAAATGATATAAAATCATTCTGAGGGGGTTACACATAATTCTTCACAGCTGTAAACATTCTACTGTACACTTCATTAATGAGATACAAACATTTCTGTTCTCTCTACCACTATGTTGAGAAGGGATAACTACACATGTACACATTTTTTCCTCCACAAGTAATTTACCAAATTATTTTTCCTAGTCAATTCAACAATCCTGGATGAAAACGATAACACAGAGATGGAGGGGGGGTCACAATTTTCTTTTCTCATATCTTTCCTTTTTAAAAAGAGGTTGAAGTCTAATAATTTTGTGTGCTGTGAAGAAAACAGTACATTCACAGATATAACCTAAGAAATAATGCAGTAGGTATGTTAGATCAGTTAACAATTTTTAATTAAAAAATATATTTCACCTATACAGAATGACTAATGGTTTTAAAAATAATAATGTGTGTTTTCGTACAACAATTTTTAATGTCATGTTTATTTATTGATAGTTTATAGATTCAGCCAGATGAACAAAATAATAAGTAACTTAAACATATATTAGATTCTAATGGGTTCTGATGATCGTGGATGACACACAGAATTATTGGGGTTTTGGACTTTTTCCATCATCTCAATCCAGTGATTGAGATTAGCTCTTTCTAAGGGGCACAGCTGAGTAGGTGTCTTCCTTTCTCACCTGAAGACGGAAACAGATCCAGTTTCCGAAACACTGTGTTCTGTATTACTTAAAATTCCGGACGATGGAAAAAGTCCAAAACCCCAGTAATTCTGTTAAACATATATGTTAAACTTAAGAGACGATTTTTGTACTTTGACATTCTGATAGCTACATGTAGTGTCAACTGTGTATGAGTCAGGTGCATTTTTAGTTCCAGTGCATCATCCTTTTCCATGTAATTCCTTTTTCATACATAACACAGCTCCTGATACTAGTCTCCACTACTTATACCACAATTTACTTCATTTACAACCACCACACAGGACTAAAAATTAGACATAATTCTTTTCACTTTATCATTTGTCTTATAAAAGTAAAAGTAGAGTAAAAAAGTAAAGCTATCCCTGTATCAGGCAGTGAAGGCCCATAGGGTTGTGAGACGTTGAGGGTCCCACATTATCTAGACAATTAGCTCAAAGATGGTGGTAAGATTGTCAGCCTTACACGCTGGCCGTACTTTACTCCCCAGGAAAATTATTTAATTAATTCCTGGTATTCATTGCTGTTAGAGGCTGAGTCAACCCCAGGGCCATAGTGCAGCTGGAAGGATTAGGTCAATTGAAAAAATCAAATGACCTCATCAGGACTTGACCCGCGACCTTCCAGCTTGTAGCATAGTGCCTCAACCAACTACACTACCACGTGCCCCATCTTACAAAATTAATATATTAAAACTATGCTTTACATTAGTCTGTTTTATACAGTTTATACATGCATCACAAATGCAGAATATTCTACTGCTCAATACTATTACGCGCAAATCACAGTGGTCGCTGGTCTATGGCATAAACTGTCTTCTCCTGCTTGAACACTGGGGTCATGGGTTCAAATCCCAATTGAGGCATGGATGTCTGTGTGCATTTATTCTATGTCTATGTTGTTTTGTTTGTAAGTAGCAGCCTTCTGACAGACTGATCCCCCATCAGAGGAGCCCTACTGACTGTGTATACAATTAAGAAGCTGAAAAAGCAGCCTAGGCCCAAAGGGCTGTACAGCCATGGAGAATACTATTATGTCAGGTCTATCCATTACCTGATTTTATTAAAATTGCTATCTCTTGGAAACTGATTCCATTTATGTCATTAGGTGAACAGGATATCAGAGAGAACCTACTCTGCTGGGTTCCTCGGTACATCTACTCTCCAATCGCAAACAGCAAGTCTTCAAAGGCCAAGTATATAAGACAATTTACAATGAAGATGGGTAACTGGAAGTTATTCCAGTCTTCTATTTACTGGAGGCCCAAACAGAGTAGCTTCCTCTTGTATACTGTGTACACAAAGAGGAAAATAGAATCAATTTCTCCAACACAGTGGCTTTAATAAATTCAGAAAACGAACTAAGTCCAAAATAAGGGCTGTGCCATAGCTCAAGCGGTTAGTCGCTGGCTTCCCACCATGGTGGCCCGGGTTCAATCCTGGGTCTGGTCAAGTGAGATTTGTGGTGGACAAAGTGGCGCTGGGGCAGGTTTTCTCCAAGTACTTCAGTTTCCCCTGCCAATCTTCATTCCACCAATTGCTCCACAATCACCCTCACCTATCATCTTGGGCTGGTACAATAGGCCAGAAGTGGCCGCAGTACAAGGGACTTAGTCCCACCCCACTAGCAATTAAAAAAAAGCCCAAAATAACGGCATTTAGCAATGTAATGATGTCATTTGTAATGTACCATATGTCGAGTAATAACAGGCGATTCTTGTTAGACATACTTTTGCTATATTTATTTTCACAAATGTAAGGTTTTACTTCAGTGCCATGAAAAATATTCTTTCTGTTGTCACAGTAAAACATGCCACACATGTCCAGTGGGTTGTGTGATCAATTTTTCTGATTTGTCCAGCAATTTTGACCCAGTCAGGTTGTTTTACACTCCTTCTCCAAAATTCTCAGTGTTCATGCAAAGTGTTTCCCACTTTAGCATATTTTAACACATACAGTGATTATCTGGAACAAAACCTCAATGTCTAACAAAGAATTACTCTTGTATAAAACAGGTTAATGCATGTAGGAATAGGGCCACTTTTTGAAATGTAATGGTTTTATTAATCTCAGATTAGGGACAAAGTCCAAAAGAATAATTACAACTAATGTGTCATACCATCTTCAAAAAGATGTAAACTTAAGCAGTCTGTCCAATAATACAAAACAATTTAAACTGGCCTTGAAAAGTGTCTTGTTTATATGTTGGACAAGTATTTTAAATACAAGATGAACTAAACTTTTTACAATGCTGATTATATCGTATTATTTAAAAATATTTTTAATTGATATCTGTATATATATTTTTAAGGAATGAGCTTAATAAGGTATTAACGTCTATGAATTGTACATGTTGGTTAAATTATTGAATTGTATAATTATCATTCCTTTTATGAATATAGGTGTAAGAGGACTAGTTTCTGTTCTCATAACTAATATATGTAAGTTTTGACATGTTCTATATCCGATGGCTTTGGTAGCCAGTAAAGATCTATGGAAATGAAAATAAAGATACAAGATACAAGTACCTTATAGTATATTACAGCACAATGAACCTTGATATATAATAATGATCACCTGAATATCATAATAAAAACAGAGTTATAGAAATGCTACACCTTCCAGCACAGATCTAACACATACAACAGACATAATCTATGATAGTATTTCTGATATTTGGTCTGAAGTTAGGGATCAAGAGTGATACTGCAGGCCACTTTATGTTCTTGAGATCTTGTGTTTAAATGCCAGGGGCTTGGGAGACATGTAGTGTTCTGTCTCTGTAAGTAATTCGGCTATATGCTGGAACAGCATATTGAAATCACCAATTGGATAGAGACTAGAAGATGGGTTGGTTTACCTGCACCTTAATTCCCAGAAGGGGAGTGAAATTTTTCTCTTCTCTCAGAGTATTCAAACTTGCCCTTGGGTCGACTCAGCTTTCAATGTGTGGGTACCAATAAAAACTCCGCAGGGGGATAGGTGGTTGATGCCTGAAGTTGACAATTTACCTTCATCTTGTGTCAAGGTTACAGCTGCATGCAACTATCCCTCCACTTCCCCATACGTCTGCATGGGGTGTACTTAAGAACAGGGACTTTCTTATTACAACATACTAATAAATACTCAACAGCCTACATTTTCATACAAGTTTTAAGAACAACTGACACCACATTCTTCAACTAGGAGGAGGAAAACTGATTTCTGGCAATGGCAACTGTATTGGTATTATCCTCCAATTATCACGGCCCATGTTTCACATTACTTTATAACACGCCACACTAGGATTAAAATTATGAAGTCATGTTATATCATTTAATCACAACTTACTTATTGGTTAATACAAATCCGCATACTTGATACACTAACACCCACAAATGCAAACTTCCTATCCTTCCCACTGCCAATCCTATTTCTATCTCGGGATTATATACAACACCACACCAACGCACCCTTACTGTCAAACTAAACAATTATTAATACCTCAAAACTTGTCACTGTCACACCAGCTTCGACTGTACATACGAATTATACCGATTATACCATCTACACGCAACCTTGGGAATGAAAAGTTCTATGAGCTCAACCAAAGAGATATTCCGTATTAGCTCCTAGGGAGCGTAGAGACTACCGTTCATAGGTTGACTGCATTGCTGCCAAACCATTGCCAACATACAGAAAATCTTTACCATAATTAACTAACTTCATGGAGTATTTTCGTTGCAAGGCAGCGCAATGTAATTTAAAGATATCTTTACCATAATTACATCTTTAAATTACATTTCTCTGCCTTACAACGAAAAAACTCAGAATGAAGGAAACTCGGCCATAACACGTTAACACGGAAGCAAAAGATGTACGTGTGTGTTGGTGTTACTTTTGGCGGTTTCTTTGGAATGCAGAAATAGATGATATGATTAAATACGAGTGTGTATGGTTTCTATGTGCTTATTATCAGTTTCCCCTGCAGACCTTGATGGAGAAGAGTTGCAAATAGGTCGTACTAAAAAATTGGTTTCCTCTTTGTGAGATTTTCGGAATGGATGTAATACACCGAAGTGTATGTGCAGTGTATACTGTAAATGACGGTTAAAGGTCTGTGTGAAAAAAATTATATATAAAGAATCGCACGTAGCAGTTATTGACTGATTGCTGTGGCGTTATATGCAATGGCCGTTTATATGAGATTTTTTCCTCTATGTATTACATTTGCCAAGTTTCGTGTAAAATATAAATTTTACGTGATACGGTTTAAAGAGCGTAGAACGTGTTATCTTCCAAAATTACATTTTTGATAAATATGTATATTTCAGGAGCATGCTTCAATGGCAGTTGTATATTAGCACCTGTGACCCCTACCACCATTTAACTTAGAAATATTGGATTTGAGGTTCTTACAATAGTGGCTATGAAGAGTTATATCTTCTGGGATATGCTCTACTTGCTCTCTTCTTCATACTGATTTCTTGCTTGACTTGCTCTTTACTCTGAAGATAGAGGACATACATTCCCCTGGAATGTCACTTAACTTTCTGATGTGAGACATATGCTTACAGACAACAGCCATGAGATTTTTGTCTATACATCCACAGGAGTTCCTTTGCTTGTGTAATTTTTGTATCATGGCGGATCAAAATCCAATGTAATTTCCAATCCAATTAATTCTGACGCCAGTTTTTACAGGACCACAACTAGATACAGACTTTGGATTCATAATTTAATTTATGGCATCCTTATTACTCGTAATTAAAAATAATTACAGAACTTCCACTATTCTACACAATCTAATGAGTAGTTATAGTACACTGGAAGTTTTCCCAGCCTATGTCTGCATTACCTGTTGCTTGGTAACGGTTTTCGATAATGGGAATTCTTTCTTGACTCTGAGAAAACACTTCCCCCAATAGTTCTGCTACTGTTGTATGCGTAGGAGAACGCGGTTGCGTAGTTGGTTGAGGTACTATGCTACAAGCCGGAAGGTCACGGGTTCAAGTCCCGATGAGGTTATTGGATTTTTTTTCAATTGACCTAATCCTTTCAGCCGCACTATGGCCGTGGGGTCGACTCAGCCTATAAGAGAAATGAATACCAGGAATATTCTTGGGGGTAAAGGGAAGCAGGCTCATAGGGCTGACAACTTTGCCGCCATCTATGAGCCGATTGTCTAGAAAATGTGGGAACCTCAACATCTCACACCTCTATGGGCCTACACGGCCTGTCACAGAGATACCCCTCCTTTTTTTTTTTTTTACTTTTCTCTTTTGCATGCGTATCCGTTGCTGGAATGTGTTTACTGGGCCGTTGCATAGAAAAGGCTCTGGTATATTTGCTTATCTCGCTGTAGTTGCGTAGTAACGGCTCTGCACGTTACTGCATGTTATGATTGATGTGTATATACATAGGTCGGATAAAAAGTAGTGGAAACACCTCTATAGTTCCGAAATGATTTTATTGCCTGAGGTAAACACACTTACATTCCTTCAATATATACGCCCCATGTGTACCACCTTCTGCCAAATTTGTGGAAGACGTCGTACACCATCAGCGGGTCCACTTCTGTTGATGTCTTGCAGTGACCGCCCTACAGCATGAATAAGCTCCTCTCTTGTGTTGTAACGTGTCCCTCGCAGTGGTTCTTTCATTTTGGCAAAGAGAGCATAATCGCACGAACTCATATCGGGTGAGTATGGCGGATGTTGCAGTATCTCCCATCGCCAGCTGCGAAGGAGATCATTGACAGCGTCAGCAGCATGAGCCCTTACATTGTCATGAAGGATGATGTGGTTCGTTGCCAGCAAGTGTCATCGCTTTCTCCTGAGTACTGGACGAAGATGATTGCGCAGGAAATTGCAGTAGTAGGCAACGTTTACTGTCTGTTTTGAGGTACAGCGTGGTGCAGTATCGCTCCATCAATGTCATATGCCGCAATGAACATCGCCTTCACATTACTCTGTGTAGAGCGCACTTTCTTTGGACGAGGGGAACCAGGATGCTTCCATTCATTTGATTGTCGCTTCATGTGCGGTTCGTATGAGCGAGCCCAAGTTTCAGCCAGAGTGACGATCCTTCCAAGAAAGTCGACACCTTCCCTCTGGTACCAGTCCAACAAGTCCTGTGCAATTGCATAACGTTGGCGTGGTTGCACCTCGGACATTGTATGGGGTACCCAACGCACTGCAATTTTGCGGTATCCAAGAATATCGTACAGAATGTGGAACACGGCTTTTTGATATACGCCTACCTCAGCAGCTAACTCCCAGACAGCCCATCGATGATTGACATCCAGCAAAGAAGCAAAAAGCTGAATTGTGTGGCTGTCAACATGGGGTCGTCCTGAACGACGGCTGTCCCGAATGGCATCCCTCCCTTCACGGAACAATTTCACCCATCGTGCCACTGTGCGATATAGCAAAGCAGCATCACCACATGCTTCTCGCAGTCCCTAATAACAGTTTTGTGCACTACAGCCTCGTGCAACTTCAATTTTTATCCAGGAGAGTTGTTCTTGTTTCGTAAACATGTTGTTAGGGCGCTTCAACTGGGCTCCTGCATTTCAAGACAATGCACAGTGCAACTCAATGAAATACAACCAGAGCCACTCACTGCACTACTTCAACTGAACTTTTGCTATCAGCTACAGACGGCGCTAGTGCCACCTGACCCACATCTTTCATGTTACAATAGTGTTGCCACTACTTTTTATCCAACCCTTGTAGAAACAGATAAAGAATACTGATACTCCGTTTGCATGGAGTGTTCATAATATTCTACGAATATTTCCATATTTGCTGATGACACTAGTGTCATAATTTCAAATAAAAATTTCGATTATTTGTATATTATCAACAGATCTCTCTCTCTCGTGTGCGTAAATGATTTACTGCTGGCTCTGACACTAGATGAAACAAATATAACAAAATTCATAACAAATAAGTCACCACATTATCGACTGAACATTGGATATAGTGATAAATGCAGAGTGTCCAGATGAAAAGTATCCAAAATAATAATAAAAAAAAAATCTCGGAAACTGTCATACACGTATCCGGTTTATGTCATCGGAAAGGAAAACTATTTCTTTTTCATACCCGGCTTACGCGCATGCGCCGCCACATTTTTGCCACCATGTTAGGAATCACATGAACAGAGAGATGGCTGGGAGATGGATCGGCAAAATCGGAACAATAGCTTGGCCTCCTAGGTCGCCAGATTTAAGCCGAGTGGATTTTTTCTTATGGGTTATGTGATGAACATTGCCTACCAGTTTAAGGTGACCGACCATCAACACTTGAAAGCCCGCATAAGGGACGCTGTGGCTACGGTAACACCAAACATGCTTCAAGCAACGTGGAACAAGGTCGAATATCGTCTGGATATTTGTCTTGCCACCAAGGGAGCCCACGTTGACATTTTTTGAGAAAGTTATGTACTCAGAAAAAGAAAACTGGTAGTCTCCCTTTGTAATGGAGTAACACATACATATACTAAATGATTTCTGAGATATAATTATTTTATTTTGGATACCTTTCATCCGGATATGCTCTAAGTAGAAGAGTCAGTAGGCACGTGTTATATATCAATAACAGTGACATAGTCAAATCAATTTAATTTGTTTATTTTCACTCTATAATGAAGTACTGAATAGTTGTCGAAGGTAATTCATCCGGCAGTAAGAAGATATTTACACTACAAAAGAAAATTTTTAGAATCATGACATGTGTCAAACCTAGAAATTCATGTAAGGCTCTATTTAATTGCCAGGGATCTTACCTCTTCCATGTGAAGACATATTTTCATTAATGAAATTTATTGTAAATAACAAATAACACAGCTGTTCACAGAGCTAACTCAAGGAACAAGCAGTGGACCAGTTGCCAAAATTTCGTGTTTTCAAAAAAATGTACACTGTGCTGGCACTAAAAACTTACACACTCCTTCTACTCTGTTCGTGAATTCCTGTTAACAAAAAACAACTCATAATCTTTTTAAAGTTTGTATAAACATTATGAGTGAACAGCATTGTTCTAGTATATGTGTGGATCTAATTGAAGCATTTGAATATCTTATATGAACTCTCTGCTTATTTTTATATGGCAGCTTCATTTGTACTGTACATATACATTTTGTGTTTTTTGATATATTTCACTTCCTGCAGAAATTTCTGACACACATCAAATTCATGGAATGTAATATAATGTCGCACGTTAATGACTAGACATGGGATCTGGATTTATAGATACGTGTATGTTTTTGTGTTTCCTTGGATCATGCCTTTTTCCACCTGCTCCCGAATGGTGATTTTAGTTTCCTCAAGCCTCATTTGTTGCTCTGCTATTATCCTTGATGCCAGAAGACTTTGTGGATTGTGTGGCTGCCTGCTTGTGCCTCTGGGCAGCAAGACCGGCTGGTGGGTGTTCCAGAACTGCTGATGCTGCGCGGCTAGCTGACAGGAACTGCCACTGGGCAAGGTGGGAGCCACTGTATGACACCTCTTATTCAGGGTCTTCTGGTCACGGCCCCCCATCCGAAGAGATTTTTGGATGCGTGCTTTTTTCGGACAATAAACATAATCAGGATATTTTCTCTTGTGCTCAGCATCTACCTCACGTGCAATGTTTACATACA